GGTCAGAGTGGTCCCTGGTCAAAGTGGTGGTCAAGTCATCCCTGGTCAAAATAAGTTGGAAACCACTGCTCTAGTTCATCCCATTGCTAAGGAAAGGGGTGGACATTACTTTTCTGTTATCTGTCTCTTGATTCTCTTCTGTAAATATATTGGAACTCTTGACTTCTGTGGTGGAAGCAGGTCTGTCTCCTAGTAATGGGCACTAAATTTAGAAGGTGGTTTCCTGATAGTTGTGAATTTCTCTGCATATTTTTGAATGAGAGCTCATCAGAACCCGAGGAAAAGGGCAGACAGAAATCTGAAACAGCATTGGAAACATGTTCGTTTCTTGAATTCATACCTCACCTTTCTTCCAAAATGGGATTCAAGGTGGTTGATCACTAGATGTGTCTGAAATTGAGTTTAACTCAAGATAATTGTCCAAGTACTCTTTGTGAGGGTTTCTTGTCCTATAGAAATGCCTGCTTACCTCTGAATAAAACAAAAGATTATCTTAAGTCTCCACTTTTTGCTTTCCAAAGTGAACTAAACTCATGGGATTCACCTGTGACTCTTACTTCTTAGCTGCAGTTAGAACCAAATGAAGACATTTTATCATCAGAGGCAAATAATATTCTCCCTTATTCTGTGTCCAAAAGCCATCTGTAGTGGCAAATAAATCTTCCTTCAACTGGAATCAATTTTCTTCTCCCAACACCTTTCTGCCATTTTCAGACACCTTTTCTACCTGGGGATCAATGCCTAAAAGCACTAATATTCCTTTGTTTGTGCACAACACCAGCATTTGCTAATTGCTATCTCCTTAAGATGAGAAAAAGTCCAATTCTGCTATTTGGTTGTTAATCCTAGATGCTGTCTTGCTGAGAGCTACATCCTGGAAATTTCTACACTTCTTTGTTCTTCTCCTTGACTGAGTGCTCTGTCTAAAGAGGATCGTTGCCCATAGAGCGTCTGACCTTCCCCCCTTCTTCTCATCCTGCCCTTGTGTTTTCCTGCCAGCTTATGCCTTGTTAAGGAACACAGAGAACACCATTCAAAAATATTTATTGGCTAATTAACATGTGTCGCTTTCACTAGGACTATTGGACTTTCTGACCTAGAATGACCTAGAATGCCTCCGCAGTTGATAACAAGAGCTTAAAAGGTGCTTGTGGGTTGTTTTGGGGTTGTTTGGGGTTTTTTTTTGTATTTTATTGTTTCAGGACACAAAATGGCTAAGAACTTATACACTAAATGTGAGTATAAGCCCATCTTTGAGAAATGGTTTTGCTAGAAATGTCAGGAACAAAATTAACAAGCTGCATGTCTCATGTGAATGTGACAGCCCCATAGGGTTATGCAACCCATACTTTTTTCCTCCTTTTGCTCCCATCGCTGTCAGTACTGCCTCATAAAGTTCACCCAAGGGTAGTGGCTCTTAAGAGGATGAATCAGAGAAATTCAGACTAAAAAGGAGCGATTGCAAATTGAATTAGTGAGAGGACAAGTTGGCCGTTCACCAAGCAGGGAGCTAAAGAAGAGTGAGAGATAGAGAAAACAGAGAAGCAGGACTTCTTTGGAAAATATTTATCTGTCTCAAATCCAAGTAATATCCCTGTTGGTTTCAAAGTTATGCTCCGAGTCCATTCACACCAGAGTCTGGAAGAGTTATTTCTTTGGACTCCAACTCCAGTAATTTCCCTGCCCTATGCTAATTCTGCTAGACTTGGGGAGCAATTATCCAAAAATGTAATATTTTTGAAACGTTATACTGAGGCTGAGTCCTAGTTATTTTGAATATCTGCAAATATAATTGACTCAGCTGATTTCTCTTACAGTAAGAACTAGGTGTTCTAGAGTTCACTATAGGGTGCTTACTTGACCACAGGTAACATCAGTACAGTTAAGAGATAGGCAGAATTCCCAATATTGTTTGCTTCTATCATATCCATCTCCTGTATACCTAAGATGTCACATGCAATGTCCTAATTAATAAGAACATCAGCCCTGGCCTTGTCTTACTCAACTGCCGAGTATGCCTGCCCTGTTTAGCACAAGTCTATCCATGCAAAGCAGGTGAATATAGCACTGAATGAAACATACTGAATAATCACAGGATGCCTCAAACCTACAATTATAATCTAGCTGGCATTGCCCCCCTGATGTGTGACGGGAAGTTGCTGCTAACTGTGAGAGAAATAAGGTCTGTGAAAGCCACGCACTGCATGGCTAACAGCCTACTCCCAGTAGATTTAAATCAAGGAAAATCTTCATGAGAACCACCACTCCTCTTAATGTTCCCCCAGCAACAGCAAGAACATCCCTCTGGGCAGCTAAACCAGAAAATCCCAATTGGATGGCCCCCCACGAGGGTCTTCCTCCAGGGGCAAACCAAGAATGGGCAACTTCGAAGTCTCTGAACAGACTCAGAAGTGGAGTGGGCAGATCAAAAGACAACCTGGCAAAATGGAACTATCTAAAAGAATCCTCCACCCTGAGCGACTGTGGAGCAGAACAAGCAACTCCACATCTGTATGCTTGCCCACAATGTCCTGCCTCATGCACATAGGAAGAATTGTTTAAAGCTACAGACAATGTGGTCGCTGTTGCCCATTTTTGATCTAAAATTATTTAGCCGTTTGTGCTCCCTCTATTTTATCACTTTTATACTTATTTGTGCAATCCTTTTGACACGAAATGAGCAAAATATCCATCTCTACATTACAAAGTAATGGCAGGCTTTCAATGTTCACATTCTAGTTAACCAGAACAGGTAGCATTGGAAGTCACTGCTACCATATACCTCAAATAGATGGAAATGAAGTGTTTCATGTATAAATCTACAGACAGAGAGTTCTGAAATGTTTGAAAATGGGCTGGGTTGGGAAAACACATATAATCTTTTCTCTTTTGGAATGTATATCATTGTCCTCTGGAGACGAAGCATAACCAAAGCTTAAGTATATTTCAATAGTTTTGTAAAATCTGTTTTTTGGGTCATCTTTTATGGTCAGGATTCAGCCAGAATGTGGGACAGTAGTGTTAATGCATTTCACATTTCCATTTAATTTAAAATTACATGTCTAAAGTGTCATAAATATATTACCTGCAGTTATGTAAGTTACACTAATTTGTAGGTTGAAATGCCCCCGAAAAAATCAGAACTGATATTTTTAATGTAGTTCCTGCCATAAAAAGACTGTATTGTGTCTTTTTGGATTTGTGCAACTAGGGCTGCTTGCCCAGACTTTAAGAAGGTATGTGGCTATGTCAGACCACAATGCAATACAGACGGTAACTATTTTGGAATTGACCCTTTCTTACACCATTACCTAGAGGAACTCAGATGTATTTAGTTTAAACCACAAGATAAATGCAAACCAATGTAATTCTAGCAATCCTAGGTAGTGTGGTTTTCTGCAAATCACCTCATTGGACATCTTTCATTCAGAAAAGCATAGTCAAGTACAAACACAAGAATTTGCCATGTTTGAAAGTATTCATTTACTAGCTAAATTGAATTGTTAATTCCAAAAACAGTAGAGCCATTGAATCAATAGGACATATATGTTGACTTATCAAGTCCTCGTTAATTCCGTGGTTCGATTCTAGATGGGACTAACCATTGGATCTAACTCGAAGCAAGGGTTTAGTCTTGTAACTCATTCCATTGAATCTCTGAGTTGTTCTTGCTCAGACTGCAGTTATACCCCAGTTAATGAAGTAAATGTGTTTTTAGGCATGACTTCTTTAACAGAATATTTGATGCCAGAGGCAGAAATAACATGGGAACAATAGAAATAGGTTTTCTCCACCACAAAAAAGAGGAACAGTTCAACATGTTCCTACAAACCTTTTATCCAAAACTAACAATATGCATATGTGAAATATAACAACTGGGTCAGGTATGCCTTGTATAAACAAGTAAATACAAATATTTTTAACTTTCAAAAGATTGTTTGAATGCTTTTAGGCAAAGACATCCAGAGATGTGTTTTTCCTTTCTCCAGCTCATCCACTTTTCATAACATTTCCATTTTGTGCACATGCTTTTTTAACATGTTGGGGGACGCTGATGAGACAGGTGCTTTCAACTTTCTATGTTTAGCTATTCACAGATGTTCAGTAAGTGGTTTAGGGGCAGTTGCTGTTTACCTTGCTAATTGTAGGAAGGCAGAAACAACTACAGTAGCATCAGATAAAACAGAATCCCATTCTTTCCCAGCTCGAGTTTTATTGCATCATTTACTAATGGCACACTGCTGCAACCTGAAAAGTTTATGCTTCTCTTACGGTCTTTCACAATCCTTCCAATGCCATTGCTGCTTTTAAAAAAACACCTTCCAGCTAGAAGGACAAAAAGGAAAATGAAGGTCTCAATGGACATGAAAGGAATTTGTAGAAAGGTGCTGATTTGCCAAGGGCTTTGTTAAATGAAGTATTCCTATAGCAAATGAAGTATTCCTATAGCAACATTAGTACCGTAAGGGTTATGAATCAGTTTTTGGTCAATTTTAGATTTGGTTTGCTTATTTGGGGTGCTGATTCAGAAAATTTCACTGGGTAGACCACTTCAGCTCAGGTTTCTGATACAGAACTTATGCTATTCAGTAGTCGCCATCTGCTCACTCACAGAAATCATATTTAATAAGCCTCAGCACTATAAGAGCGTTTTCAACACTAGTTGCTTTCGTTGTCACAGTGTAGTTACAGTGAGGCTGTGAACCGTATTTTAGTTCTTGCGGATGACTGGTGGTCCACGGACAACAGTCTGAGAACCACTACTATAGCATAATACCTCAAGTTCCATCACCAGCATTGAAATTGGGAAGAGGTGGCAGACAGGCGATTACATGTATTTCATCTCAGGCAGCAAATTATCTTCATGTGGTTCTGAAAGTTATTGCTCATGATCAATTTTAATGGACTGTTTTTTTGTTGTTGTTGATTTATAATTGCTTTCCTTCATATTCAAGTTATATGATAACCTTTTATTCATTATTTTAAATCTTCTGTTTCAGATTAAAACATCTGTTATTTGGGCCACTCCAAACATTTCCTTTGCAATCCCGCTGTGGGTTATAGTTTTAGCCATACTCCTTGGCTTGCTGGTCCTGGCTATGTTGACATTAGCTTTGTGGAAGGTATGTTGAACGAATGTGGATACTAATAACATCAAACACGGAGTGCAGGTGGGGGGGGGGGAATGCATGCAGAAACAAAATAATTGATGATCTTCTGCGCAAAATAATCCCAGAGATCTGAGATGGGTGTGTTGTTTGTTTTGAATGATAGTCATGTTTGTTTTACTGTCCTTTAAAAAGAGGCAGGCTGTTTTCAAAGTCTCACTTTATTAAATGCTCATCAGAAGAGAGCAGTGAGAGATGGGCTGGGATCCCCAAGACTTATGATCTTCTTTTGTTCAAGAAAACCAGAATGTTTTGCAAACAAGCATTTTGAGCTTTGATTCCTCCTCAAAACCCCAAGGAATTATCTTTTGTAATGTGATCTTGCACTCTAGAGAATTGCCTATACTGTCGGGGCTGCAAGTGATTTTATTTTAATATTGGTAGTTCTGTTTGATGTTTTTAACTACATCACTAAAGACTTGCAGTCACTGAAGTCGCTGGCAGTTTACAAGGATTGGGTTTGGGGACTTAGAAACAGTTGACTTCAAAGTGCCTAAAACTCACTGTTGCACATCAGAGACATAGCTTAATTTTCACCGTAACAGGAGCTGATTTCCCAACTGCCTTCTCAGAGGTTGGACAGCTTGGGTATTTAGAACTATAACTTCCAGAATCCCCACACCAGCTAGTGGACATGCTGGTTGAGAGCCTCTGGGAAGTTGTAGTCCAAAAATCTAACTTTTAAACATTGTTGTCAGTATCACATGAATTAATGACTCCATTTGTTGTTCTGTCCTAACAAGAGTACTTCCCACATTGTTTCATGATCTTGAGGGTTTCCCCCCGGTTTCTTTCTTGGACTTACAAAAACAGTGCATTAGGTGTATTTTATCAGACATCACTTACTCAGAGTATGAGGGATAAAATGTAACTTTACTCATTCCATCCTAACCGTCTCCAATTATTTTTACCCGAACGATGTATAATATGCTTAGAAACTCTCATGCCCTGAATGTCAATGGAGCAGATGTTGCAAGGAAAGCCTTCTTGACTTTGGAATTTAACACCTCACAAGCAATGACTGAAACACATTACTTTTTGGTGGTAATGAAGGCACAGGAAAAACATAATTATTATAATTGTTTTTTCCACGTATGAGTCACTTCATTCTTATGCTAATTCTTTTATTAGTTTGGGAACTATAAATGACTTTTGAGGGAATTTTCCATATTTTAAGTCACTTTTTTCATTTTTAGATCACCCCCCCCCCTAAAAAAAAGTTGTACTGCCCAAAAACATGATGGGAAATAGAACAAATAGAGATGCTTTAACAGTGTCATAGTAGTAATACATGCTACTTTTCAAGGGCTTTGTAATGAGTTTCACAGCCCATTAGAAGCTGTGAAATATCTGTGTATAGGTCGGTAGAAGCTCTGACCCAACAGTCTAAATGCAGCCTACCTACCTACAAAGCCAAGTCTTCGGCATGCTATATATTTTCCAATTAATATATTTGCCATCTATATTTCCAGGTAAATATAGATGACAAAATCTGGAGATCTGTCATGTCATTGTCTATGTCTTTGCCAGACAAAGGAGGTGGGCTCCATTCAGCTTGCAGGGACATTTAAGTTACATAACCCTGGCAAAGGAAGAATTTCATAAGAACTGGGTGTGCATGAGTCTTTGTTAGTCATCATTCCAAAAGATGCCTTCCCTCTGCCTCACAGAGATCTAATTTTAAATGCACATTCCTTTCCTTTATATCATCTCCATTTGGACAGATAATCAAAACCAGCCATGGAGATCAAGCAGGTGAGAAGCTGTTTTCCAACTACCAGGCCCCCCTCGTTTCATAATCTGCCCTCCATTTTGCCTCCATATCTGGAGAAGACCTCAGTCCCAGAATAAATTAATATGAAACAGCAAGTGCATGGATATGATTCAACAGAGTAGAAGACACACCAGTTCTGGCCCACCAGATGATTCATGGTCCATATCTGCGAAGAGTTTCCGTCTTTAACTCACTAATGTGAAAAAGAAAAATCTCCTAATACTGAACACCTAGTTTTCACCACTGACAGGAACATTCCACCGTCTTAAGAACAAAATAAATTGCATTCATGTTGACAAGATAAATGCAATTTATTTTGTTCTTAAGACGGATTCCATTTTATTGTTATGTGCCCTCAAGTAACTCTGATTTATGGAGATCCTGTCACTGGGTTTTCCTAACAAGTTATATTCAGAAGAGGTTGGTTATTGCCTTCCTCTAAGACTGAAAAAAACTGACTTGTCTAGGCTCACTCAGTGGATTTCCATCACCACGGATTTGAACCCTGATTTCCTAGAGTCCATCCACACTATAGAAGTAGTTTGATACCACTTTAATTGCCATGACTTAATGTTATGGAGTCATAGGATTTGTTGTTTGGTGAGGTACCAGCACTCTTTGGCAAAGATACGTACAACTACCACAATTCTATCGCATTGAGCCATGGCAGTTCAAGTGGTGTCAAACTGTATTAATTCTACATCATAGGTGCACCTCAGTCCAACACTCAAATCACAGCACCACACTGTCTCTAGGGAGTCTGCTATCCAAATCTATGCCACATACAATACATCCCTTTCTGCAGAAACCAAGGTGTACAAGCCTGCAGTAACATAGCAGGTTGTAAGTTTTTTTCTGGGTATTGCTGTTAGGATACCACCATCCCAAACACTTGTGAACCAGCTTGAAACCAGCCAACAATAGCTTGAAAATGGATTTGTACAAACAGATGAAGTTAGACTGGATTTGTAAAGCCAAGTGAGGCATCTTGTTTTGTTCAGGAGGCTGACTGTTGCTATATTTGGCCACAGCAGCAGGATGGGATACATGGTTTGATCCTGCTTGCTTATCTAATGGGCTTGTCAACCCTTGTCTGTTTCTTTTGTTCTAGTGTGGCTTCTTTGATCGAGCCAGGCCTCCTCGAGATGATATGGCTGACCGGGAACAACTGACAAGTGACAAGACTACTGATGCATAGAAGGGTCCTGCAGAGTATTTGAAGACTTGCAAAGTGCCAGAATGGCCAATGCAACGTTAGACACATCCTTGCTGCACCAGGGCTGCGTGATGGCAGAAAATATTGTTGCTGCCTCAAAAATACATCCAGCTATTGAGCAAAAGGTGGTTAAGTAAAAACCAAATCACTTCATTCAAAAGGTGATTCTTTTTCACAGCACATGGGGTACGTCAAAAGCACTCTTCATTGGAACCATGCAAGGATGGAAATCCTGTGCTGCCATATGCCTTAAGGATGAGCAAGATGAAATGTTCAGACTCTGCTATATGTTGACAGAACATTGTGGCACCTCCCTAAAGATGAGAACTTCTGTGAAACTCTGGCTCAGGGAGAGAAGCAATATTGTTGGCCCTCCTTGAAGTACCTCCAAAAAGCAGAAGCAGAACCTGTAAAAATACTTTTTCATAAGCAAGGCATGGTTATTTATTTTTCCATCTTTTTGTAGACTGGGCATCTTAACAAAAACAGGTCATGAAGTTTTGTCCTGATGGCAATGGCCTCGGTATTGTGTATATAAATAGAGTGAATGTATCCTGCACATTCCATATATCAATAATAAGAGTTTGGAAAGAAACGGAGTTGCATATTATTTTAGAAGATGGGATGTATAATGAAAAATCATAGACCTGCAAACCTGAAAAATCCCAGAAGATTTTCTAATTTAATCCCATTCTTTGGGATATCCATTTATTGGTAAGTAAGTCAAGCTACACTTCTGATCAAAATCATTGTAGAAGATGATATGATGAAAACCTGACAGAGAAAAAAGATCTTATGTGAATTAAAACAACATTAGTTAAGCCTCTGCTTTGATATAAACCTCATTAATGAGTCTTTTTTATGAGCTCTTCCTTTGATTATCTGTTCCACTGGCAACACAGAATATCCTTCTCTTGTTGTCATTTGAATCACCACAGATGATTCAGAGGAAGAAATGATATTCCATGGTTGAGGAATCAATATACCATTCCTGATCTCAGGATGTCCCATCTGGCTAGGAGATCAAAACTGGAAAACACGTTTCAAAGAGGTATCCAAATATACATCTGAAACCAATATATATTTCATGTCAAAAGCATTGCATAAATAAATAAATTTAAAACTGATAAAATAAAGGGATCACAAACAGTTAAAATAGTTTTGGACCAAAAATGGGCAAGAGCAACTGCATTGTCTGTAGCTTTAAACAGTTCTTCCTCTGTACATGAGCCAGGGCATTGTGGACAAGCATAAAGTCACACAAGGTGGGGGATTCTTCTAGATAGTGCCATTTTGCCAGGTTGTCTTTTGATCCGCCCACCCCACTTCTGAGTCTGTTCAGGGACATCCAAGTTGCCCATTCTTGGTTTGTCCCTAGAGGAAGACCCTCGTGGGGGTCATCCAGTTGGAATTGCCTGATTTTCCTGCCCACAGGGATATTCTTGCTGTTGCTGGGGAAACATTTAGAAGAGTGTTGGTTCTCATCTCATCTGAAACCAATGTCGGAGCTATTTCTTTTGCTTTTGGAAGTAGAAGGGCTTGTTCCCCTGATATTTCTAGGAAAGGTGCTCCAGAAGATGTCTAATAGTTAAGAATAGATGTCTGTTTTCCTTCTTCCGTTTATTAATCAACACTTAGAGACCCTAGTTCATGTACTGATAAAAGACTGATCTGGGCGTGGAAACTCAACTACATGGAATAGCATTTTTTTCTGCAGAGAGCTGACCTATGTGTATGCATTTTTATGTCTAAAAATAAGAGCATCGCTGAGATACAAAGTGCACATCTGATTTCTGAAATAGAGTTTTTGTTACTCACAGTTGACTGTTATTTCTTGGTTGACGATTATGAATGCAGTATATATCTTCTTAACTGTAGGCTGCAGAGGGACAGTCCATTGATCAAATTCCCCAAGAGTCCAAGACATCCCATCAACTTCTGGAATCAGTTTGTAGGCTTAGTAATGACTGGACCAGGCCATCTTGCAATGACATGGTGGTCCTCGCCATGAATTCCAAATAAATTTGTTCAAATGGCGATGAACAGCAGTCTGACCTTTTGAACTTCCCATGTGCCTATAATACTGTGGTATTTTTTAGAATCTGGAAGTAAAATTTTCAGCATAAAAGTGCCTTTATTCCTCAACTGCTCGGTCTCTTCCTTTCTCCATAGCTGGTTTGGTGAGTTCATGTTTCACACCATGTTCTAGATTTAGTTCTGATAATCCCAGTTGTTATACTGCCAAAAAAGTACTTCTGTGTGGTATGTGCTGTCATAAGACTGGAAACAGGAGAAAAGACAACTTAACCCTGAACTCTCCACCAATCTGCCTCTAGAGCCATTTGAGCATTCTGAAATGGTATTTTTCCAACTTTTTATAAAACAAGGGGAAAGTTAGCCAACATCATGCTTGTTGATTTCTGAACAAAACTACTTCAGAAGGCTTGTGGGATATTGTCTACAGCCAAGCTTGTCTTATAAACAGCCAAATAGTTATGTTGGTTGGCTGCTAATGAAAAAATCTCAAGAATTTAGTATTTCAGAATTTCTAACATGGATTTTCTAGCTGGACTTTTAGAAGGTTTCTTCTTAATATCTGTTAGGATAATGCGACTTCTGCTTTTTCAGTTGCCTACTATGAGATATAAAGAAATATATTCCCAAAATTGTTTGTATTGATGTCTCAGTCCAGACCAATTTCAGTCATAAATACCAGTTTATAAAAATGACTCTCCCTTTTATCGCTGTAAAATTGGAACATAGAATTGTTACATTTCACATGATTTTGAAACCAGGCCATATGAAAATCAAAGGAACTAGAAAGAAGAAAACAACTAGTGGAGTTCAAATCAAGGAAGCTTATCATTCCCTAGACTTTTTTCCAGGGTTATGTTGTTGCTATGAGCTTTCAAGTTGTTTTTGACTTATGATGTATTTATGATCAGTGTTTCTCAACCTTCCTAATGTCGCAACCCCTTAATACAGTTCCTCATGTTGTGGTGACCCCCAACATAAAATTATTTTTGTTGCTACTTCATTATTTTGCTACTGTTATGAATCATAATGTAAATACCTGATATGCAGGATTTTTTTCCATTCACTGGACCAAATTTGGCATTAATACCCAATACACCCAAATTTGAATACGGGGGGGGGGGGGTTGGGGGGTTGATTTTGTCATTTGAGAGTTGTCGTTGCTGGGATTTATAGTTTACCTACAATCAAAGAGCATTCTGAACCCCACCGATATAATTGAGCCAAACTTCCTACACAGGACCCCCTGCCTTGAAGGGACTCACTGGTGCGAGCCTACCTCCAACCTCACCCGCTCTCTCTCACGCGTGCATGTGCACCATTCTGCCATGCGCCAAGCACGTCTGCTCTCCCCTTTCCACTTGGAGTCTCAGAAAGAGAGGCTGGCTGAGAGACCAGCCAATCACAGCAGAGGAGGGCTTTTGGTGGGAAGATTTGCCGTCTGTTTCCCAAAAGGAAGAGAGTGACAGGTAGCGAGATCTTCAGGCTTCTCTGCCAAATACCTAATACCATCCAAATACCATCAGAAATATGTGTTTTCTGATGGTCTTTTGCAACCCCTCTGAAACCCTCTTGCAACCCCCACAGGAGTCCCGACCATCAGGTTGAGGAACACTGACTTATGATGTACATTGATGACCCTAGGCAAAACTAACATGGAGTTTTCTTGGCAACATTTATTCAGAAGGCGTTTATCATTGTCTTCCTCTGAAGCTAAGAGAGCGTGATTTGCCCAAGGTCGCCCTAGTGGCAATTCGTGACTGAACAGTGACTCAAACTCTCTTCTTCAGAGTACTACTAGTCAAACACTAAAGTATTACGCTATGTTGGCTCTTAAAAACCAACAACATAGGGGAAATCTGTGAACCAGTTCATATGGAAAACTTATTTGTGGGTTGCAAAAACAGTCATTTGTTATCTTCAGGATTAAGAAAACCTGGTGTGAATGGATCGTCCATGCAGACTTGAAAATGCTGGGTGTTAGAGTCTACAAAGGGAACTTCCAATTCTGGGTCAAATTATGAAACCCCCTCCTTTCCATCCATCCAAAAGAAGTTACTTGTATAATTTTTGTAAATACCAAATAATTGAATTATAACCACAGTTTATACAGAATGATGTCCTGACTTGAAATATGTACATTGATTATACACAGCACTCTTAAACGGATGAAATATCATTTGCAAATAAGAAAGGGTTTTTTTTGTATGTGCAATATTTTATATTATCTATGTACCTGACGCATGTTTACACTGGCAATTGTGTTTTTTTAAAAAAAGCAATCTTTTGGATATATTGATTAAGAAATAAACAAAATAACATCGTTTACTCCTTTGCCTTACTTTGAAGCTTTTTTTTTAGCATGGCTGTAAAATTTTCTATCAGGCTTTTAATAAGAGAAGAGTTAACATCTAGTTGTACACTGTTTCCTTGTGAAAGCCTGGGAATCCTCATTCAGGGACAACTGAATGTGTCTCCTATAAATGCTGTGCTATTCTTTTCAATGGCTGGGCAACCTCCTTTGCGTGTCCTCCTAATTTTCTCTTCAACTGAATGAGTGGGACCGGCAAAGTTCAAGAGAGCTATCACAGAAGTCATTGACACATCCAAGGCAACTGGGTCTAAAGTGAATGTGTGTTTCATTCAGTCCTGCCCATGAACATCTATTTTAATGAAGAGCAAAAAGCAAAACCCCAAAATGGAAAGTGACAGCGGTGGAAACAACACCATCAGTCATGGTAAGCCTGGCTGGAGTCCATTTGTTGCAGCTGCAGAGTGTCCTAGAAATGTGAGTGAGAGGCACATGAACTGACATTGCTTACTTTGAGAAAAGCTCTCTTTTCATATTTCTGTTCCTTGGCACATTGCGCTCCTTTGCAGTAACATTTGTAGCTTGCTGCTGTCAAGGGTTGTCATTTTTCAGCCATTTTGGAGTCTGCAGACATAAATGGGAAATTTTAAATGCTGTATCTGTACAGGCCTGACTGTGATCAGGGTGCCAAGCACTCAAGAACTCAGCCTTGGAACATACAAGGTTGCCCATAGGTATGGTTTTCATTATCAGACTTTGAAGAGGCGTGGTGAAGGAGAATAAATAAGATCAGTAAACCTATTTGTACTGTCAGTGCAAAAACCAGTACTATTCAACATCTTTATCAATGACTTAGATGGCAGAATAGAGGACCCGCTTGTCAACTTTGCAGAATACTTGCAATTACGATTAGTTAAGACCTCAAAGAACAGGATAACAATCCAAAAGGACCTTAGATTAGAGAGTTTGACCAAAATGTAAAATTAATTTCAACAGGAAGAAATGTAAAAACAAAAAGAAAAGTAATGCAGTAATGTGTAGAGGAATCCGAGTTGTTAAACTCAAAAATAACCCTCAGTTGGGGTGAAATATAGCTGAGTACCAGAAGTACTTCATAACCAGCAGAAACTTATGTGTGGCGAAGCTAGGATAAGCTTCTGTTCTTAGGATGGCACAGGAATGCAAAATCAGAACTTTAGGTTCAAAATATTTATTGAAGTAAAAGAAATACATTCTAGATACAAAGGTCTTGAAGCTAACTAGCTTACTAAATATCTTCTTAAAAAAGGTAAAA